CTGGCTTTGTGCTGCGCAGAGCTGCTGCTCCATTGCATGTGGTGCCTTTGTTCCTTCCTCAGATGTACCGGGGCAGAACTCACCTTGTTAGTGATGGTTTGGCTCCCCCCCAGCACGTTTTCCTTCGGCTCTTTTGATTCCTCTGCCTTTGGTTCATGGCACTTGGGTTCCAGCAAACACAGCTGATCGGGGAGGGGTGAAGAAATTGAGGGGCTTGGGACAGCCCTTCTCCATGTTTGGTTTTTTTTTTCCCCTGCTGCTGAGATGGAATCAGGATGGCCTAAGGGTCCCGAACCCCACATTGTTACCAGTGATGCTGGGCAAGTCTGCATGGTCCCCACATCCTGCTGCAGGCCTTACCCAAATAAGGGGAAAAGTTATTTACTTTAACAGATTGGCAGGGAGGAAAAAAAAATTGGCAGGGTTGGGTTTTTTTCCTCAAATGTCAGCAAAGATGGGTTTGTGTCTCTGCTGGCTCTGAGCTGGCTTGTCCCCTGCTTTGCTCTTTTGCTGTGGGCTGGGGAGTGGGGAGGCTGGACAGCCTGGCTGCAGCAATTATCCCTGCTTGCAGCTTGATTGAGGTGGCTGTTGGGGACATCTGATAGCCTCTTAATGTATGTTCAAAGCACCTGCTTCAGCAAGAGGGCAAATCTGGTGGCCAGTTTTCGGAGGAGCCCAGCGCTTAGCTCCCTTTTTCAACTTGTACTCAGACGCTGCATTTAACCTCGAGCTCTTTCTGCGTGTCTTAAGCTGCCTTGAGATCTGATTTTTTTTTTTTTCCTCCCTCTGCTAATCTCTTCACAGCTAGGATCTTACAGGCCTGTTAGCAACAAATGAAGCCTGACTTGGTGGGGTTGCAGAGATGGGATGAGCAAAGGAGGGTGGTGGTTGTGCAGACGCCGGTGTATGAGGAGCATACATGGGGTTTGCGTCTGTGCGAAGCAGTGGGCTGGAGCAACAATTGGTAAGCCGTGCTGGCTGTTTGCAGCCCACGGAGCCTACCGTCTGCCCAAATGCCTCCTCACAAGCCCACTACGAGGTGGCAGAAGGTCTGAAAAGGAGGCTGAATAATTTTTTTTACACCGTAGTTACATCGCATAACCCCTCTCTTTTGAGCTTTCCTGCTCATCTGCAGGATTGGAGGAAGGCTGGGTTTTCTCCTTCTTGAGGGACAACCTGGCCTCTGGGACTTTATTTCTTGTAGAGGGCCTTTTTAGCTGCCTTCTCCTAAAATGCTGCGTTGGTTCCCAGTAGAGGCAATGTCAAAGCGTGGAGTACTGGCACCTGTCTTATTTACACCCTCAAGGTTATAACGATGAGTGCTGTTCAGATTAGGAAGGAACATCCACTGTCAGACTCCTGGCTGTGTTTGATTCTTGGTGTCTTGTAGAGAGGGAGTGTGGTTTTGCTCTGAATTGACCTTTTATTTAAAAAATTGCCATTGCAGATCCTCTTTCCTGGGGATATGCTCTGTCTTCTCTCTCTGGCATGCTAGATGTGGCTTTTGGACTTTTACTTCGAGTCTCAGGTTTGCTGAAGCGCCGATGGGCAGTGGCCGCTCTCCGTGGGGTGCAGTAGTTGGGAGTAAATTTGTTCTTCATCTCCTGAACTTACTGCGTGGCAGATTGTAGAGTGACTCGTCTGGCCTCTTAGAACAGAAACATTGAGAAATGAGGTTTTATACTCATTAGATACCCAAGTATCTACCCAAGGGGAGCAGCTTTGGAAAATGTCACGGAGGCAATCGTGTTTGGTATTTTGGTGGCAGTGTCTCCGCCAAGAGCGTAAATCAGCTGAGTAGTTGCCAATAAGCAGCTAAGCTGCAGAAGGAGCCGTAGAGGCAGAGGAGTGCCACCGTTCAGCCGCGGTGTCTTCTCTTGATCCTGTTGATGATGAGACAAGATGGTGTAGATACAGTCCATAGGTGTCTACAGGCAACGTTGCTCGTGGTCACCATGCGTGATGTTGAGAGTGGGCGCTGTTCAGGGGACTGAATAGCAACAGGGAGAGATTTTGGGTAGGAAATAGTAACAGCTCCAGTAACTTCTAGGAATGAGGTCCATGGAGGTGACTTCTAAACACGTGAAATACTGGCAACTTGTTACGGGCACACTGGCTGTGCTCTTGGTCCTGGTGATGTGTTGCATGGTGAAAGAGCATCTCACTGTTGCTCTGTTCAGGTTGCAGGCAGTCGTTTTGGGAGGTACAGTGGGCTTCTCGTTGCCCTCTGAGAGGAGTTTCAGTGCCCATCAGCCCCCTGCCATGTGCTCCTGCCGTTCACCTGCTTCGCTGGACCCTTCTTTGAGCAGTTCAGCTTTTTCTCAGCTCTGGCAGGCAGGAATATTCTGCTTTTGTTGTTCACCAGGATAGGAACAACCGGGGTAGGTACAATAGGAAGCCTTAAATGTAGCAGCTGGACAAGGGGCTCCTTCCCTGCCTCCTGGGAGTGAGATGCCAGAGGAAGGACCGAGGCTTTTAAAATGCAGGACACGGACGGATTTGGCACATGTACCCTGGGAGCGAAGATGAAAGGCTGCGGCGTGGAAGCATAAACCCAAGTCGCAGCTGTGGTATCCGCCTCAGCCTTGGGATCAGATTGAGCTGAAAGCTTTTGGAGCTGAAGGCTTGTTCCTGGTTTTGGATCAAAGCTGTCAGCAGAGAAACCAACCTGGCTGTTGCTTTTGCTGTGTACCCGTTACAGGGACAGTCCCTGTGTGAGGGCCTGTGAGGTGCATGAAGGGGGACATGTCCAGGTCCACCTAGGAGGTGGTGGCTGAGGAGATTTGGCTGTACTCCAGGCAGTGAGACCTCTACGGCACGCTGGTCCCGGACACACAACCTGGCTGAAGAAGCCACTGGCTGAACTGTAGTAGAGCAGGGATGGACATCCTCTGTGACCAGGTCTGGATGGTGGCTTATGCCCCACCACTTTATGGTGTGACCTTTGGAGGCCAGGCTAGCGTGGGAGCTGCTGGGTAAGCTGGGTCCTCTGGCTACGGAGGGGCCACCAGTCAACCCGCATGATGCTGAGAGCAATAAAGCAGTGCCAGCATTTCACACTCACCAGGCGTTGGCCGGGGATATTCACAATGGCTTTTTCTAACCTTCCAAGATCTTCCTTCCCTGCAGATGGGAAATGAAAATCCTTGGCATCGGCATGGAGCAGTGGAAGGAAGTCAAGTAACATGGCTCAGCCAAAAAAAAAAACAAGAGAAAGAAACCTCTCCAACTGCAGATCAGTAGAGCAGGGCATCCGTGTGCGATGCAGATCAGTACGGCTCTTTCTCCCCCGGCGCGGCTGTTGTGCAGAGCAGCTAAGAGCATGTACATTGCTCTCTCTTGCTCGGTGAACAGCTCTTAACACGCTGTTGTAAAATGAGAGGGGCTGGAAATGCTTTCCCCGGTTGATCCAATCCCAGTGTTGGGCTTCTGTAAATCTCCCCTAACCACTGGTGATGCTGCCAAACCCTGCTAGAGCACAGGGAGAGCGGGTTGCTCCCCGCTCCCCAATCCATGCCCAGCTGTTCCAGGGCAAATCTAAACTCATCTTGGCAGGTCAGTCAGAGCTTTTCAAACACTCAGCCTTGGAGTCATTTGTTAGTAACAAATGGGGGGTTTGCCAGGACATGCTGCTCCATCTGGTCTGGCATCCTGTCCCCTACAGCAGCCTTGATGGATCTGCTGGAGGAAGGCGAGGGAGCAAAAGGGAAAAAAAAAAAAAAAAAGGGAGCAGGTTTCCCCAGGGAGGAAAAAGGGTTAAAGATAGGGGGACAAAAAGGAAAAAAAAAAAAAAAAAAAAGGCAGCAGTTTTCCCATGGAAGGAAAAGTGCTTCCGTACTCTGTTTGACCAGGGTTTCCTGGGCTGGAGCACCTTAGTGGCATGCCCTCGCTCTGCGCCTGTCAGCACAAGGTCTGCAGCTGATGGGGAATCCGAAGCAATGGTTGGTGTATACATTTTTTATTACTGTTTTGCACTTCACTTCTGAGCTGCATCCAGACAGGACTTTGGTGCACTTCCCTCGCTGAGGGGATTTTTTTTTTCCGCCTTTTCCCCCTCTGGTTAATAAGAGAAACAATCTGTTTATACGCATCCTATAAAATTCCCCCATGTCTTCATCACAGTGACATCTCTCAGTAGACTCTGTACACAGAGCCAGCCCTGTGTGGAGATGGACGGCTTCTCCGAGCCGTCGACCTGGCATGTTGCAAGCGTTTTTTCTACTGCTCGCCCTTTAGATGTAGACGAAATCTCAAGGACTGCTCATCCCACAGCAGGATGGTTCAAGCTCTCCAAAGCTCAAAGCCCTTGTGTTTGGACTGAGCTTTGTGGGGAAGAGATGGGGATGTATCCATAGCTGGGACAACTGCTTCAGTACAAGACGTGGCCGCCTTTCTGGTGGTCATCATCTTGTTGGGTTGGCCAAGCTGTTTTGGCTGAGGTGTTGGTGTGCCATCTGCAACCCGCTGGGGTTTGGTGGGGGTACCTGCATCCGTGGTCAGCTGAATCTGGGAATGCTTGGGGCTGAAAATCGGTCCTGTGCTTGTCCCAGCACAAAGCAGGCAATGAGCGGGCAAGCTTGGGTGGGCAGGGCCTCCCACCACCTCTCTGTCGACACCCCACGCTTTAGGTCAGCTTAAGCCAAGCGCAAAACCGCACCTTTTAGGTGGCAAAACACAGGTGGGTACTAAAGGGGGGTGATAAGGTTTAGGGGGCACACAGGGAAGTGGTTGGGTGAGCAGATCCGAAAAGGGAGCAAGCTCTGGCAGGGGCGTGATGAGCAGAGGCTTAGCGAGGGGCTTGCTGATTAAGACCCAAACCTGCAGTTGGTTTTTTGGTGGGGGTTTTTTTTTCATTAAAAGTTCTTGAACTGGTTTAGTCTGAGCTGCTACAGCCCATCTCCTAAACAACTATTTCTCTGCTCCTGACTGCCGAGCTCTTTTCACACCCGCGGCAGTCGGTCTGACTCTGTTTTTGTGTGTGTATGTCTTGTGTTTCGCAGTATCCGGATCTGAGCCAGGAGTCTGGGTCTCCATTTGTCTTTATCTGCACTAATCCCCAGGAGTTGGTTGTGAAGTTTCCCATCAAAGGAAAACCCAAAATCTGTAAGTAGTAAAGTTTCCACAGATGCCCCCTTTGGCCTTTCAAGCCTGCTCTCATCACCACCTCTGCTTGCCTTTGCCATATGAGTTCGCAACCTTTGCCCTGTGCTCTTTGATCTGTAGGTGTTTGTTTAATGACTCAAATACATCTGTAATATTTCTTTTTTTTTGGTCTTCAGTTCCCCTTTCCCCAGATGTTGCTTCCTTCCAAATACGTGCCTCTTCCTGCCTCTGCAAACGCTTGGGAGTCAAAGAGCGCTTGTGTCTGCAGCTGATCCGCTTCTGGCATCAGCCTGGGTCAGGGTATGAGCTGGCGCAGCGATGCTCAGGCGGATCTGCGCTAGCTCCTTTGCCTGCAGTTCAAAATTGCCCTCTTGCCCCTGAGGATGGTGAGGGCTTGAAGCAGCAAGAGCTGCAGGGCCAGATGGATGTTCCCCATCCGCAGGCTGGCAGGATGGGATGTCCTGGCAGAGCTTGCAGGGAAGCGCCACAGCATCTGTCTGTGCTCCGCTTGCCAGCGTCGTTAGTCCCTTTTATGAGCCACCAGCCCCTCCGCAGGCTGCCAGTTATTCCTGCCCACTGCTGTAAAAAGGATGGAGGAGGGATGCAGCAGCTGGGGAGCCTGCAGTCAGCTCCGTCCTTATTAGCAGCCTCCCCACCACACAGCCTGGGGAAGGCACCGTACACACTTTCAGGGGATGTGAAAAATTAATTTGACGGGCTAAAAGCAGCATAAGCAGAAATAGTCTTGGCTGTTTGTTTAGCAGAGCTGACAGCTGGGTTTTCTTTCTCGTTTGCAGCGTGGTTCTCCGGGAGTTGTTACCTAGTGGCAGGATTTCTCAGGACCGGTTAATAAGGGCTTTTGAAGCACAGCATAGGGTTATTTGTGTTGGTTTTGAGGTTTTTTCCCCCCTCTCTGCTCAGAGAAGCACTGTTCTCCCACAGCTTTGGTCTCTCTCTGGTTATTGGGGGCTATTCCTGCCCTGCCAGGGTGAGCAGGGCAAAACAATTTGGTTTCTTCCCTGCCTTTTGTATCAACATCTGGGAGGTGTGTTCAGCTGATGACGACAAACGATGCTCGGTGAGCTGCAGTGCTTGGATCTTGCTAGCGGCACCGTCCTCCCCTGGGGACCGGTCTCCCAGCGCACCGGTGAGCAGGCAGGGCTGCGCTGAGTTATTTAGGATGCAAATGTCTTTGCTGTGGTGGAACGGCCTCGTCACTGTTGCATGCTGGAGCAGCCACTGTATCTTTTGTTTTGTTTTGTTTTTCCCCTTGTTTTAACCTCTCCTTGCTCTTGTACAGGGTCTCTTGTGCCCCTTCACTGCCACATCTGCCTCCATCCGGCCGCGGTGAGGAGGAGAGCTGCTGGCAGCGGCTGGAGGGGAAGCTGCCACGCAGTGCGAGCGCAGGGCAGCTAGCTTCTGTGGGTCTGCCTTGCCGGGTGCTGGCAGCTGCTGGTCCCCTCCCCATCTGTCACATCGTCTCCTTTGTGTTGTGACACTTTCCTGCTTGGAGAAGGATCAGTCTAACAGCCTGGAAGGAAGCCAGCTGTGCTGGCAGCTGCCTGCGCTGCCTGCTCCTGCTGCTGGCCCTGCCTTTCCTGCCCTCCCTCCCAACAGGAGCTGTCACGAGAGCAGCAGCAGGGAAGACTGGAGCTGCACGTTCCCCTCCTGGAGGGGACATCGTCCATCTGGGTGATATTTGTGGCAGCCTAGGGAAGGACCAGGGAAGGCTTTGACCTTTCATCGGGGTAAGGTGCTGTTTTAATAGGAGTTGGCATCATGTCCGAGGCAGTAAAAAGCTTAATTCTCCAAGCTGGAAGCAGAGCAGGGGGAAGGTGCTGGCTCATGTCCCCATGTGAGCTCGTCGGCTGCCCTGGTCTCCTTGAAGCCTGGCTCAAGCTATGACAAAATGCCAGTTTGTCTTGTTGGGAAGCCAAGCCGGAGCTGTTTTCCTTGCCAGATAACAGCATGGACCTCGCTGTGATGACATCCAAATGCTTCTCCGTTGCAGATTAGTCGTTTCTAGCAGCCTGGGGATGGGGGAAAAATAGCCTAACATGGCTTGATTTTTGCTGCCAGGGTTATTATTTGTGTGGAAGGGATGGGCTCCGTGTTTGCGTCGTGTCCCCGCTTAGTTTCAGCGCATGAGGACAAAGCTCCGTGGCGCTTCTCGTGGGAGATTTCCTTGAATCCGGGCAAAGCTTCCCTGAAGCCTCCCTCGAGCATTGCTCAGAAACCTCCCTTCAACAGCTGACGGCTGGAAGAGTGAGGAAGAGCAGGTGAAGGGACACATCGCAGTGCAAGATGAGAGTCCTTAAATCACTGAGCAGAAAGAGAAGGGGACCCTGGGGCCGTTGCCTTATTTTTAGCCTTTTCCTAAAGGTTACCCATGTGATGTTTTTATCTTTCCCAGCTGATGGAGCTGAGCAGCCTCCCGATTGCTGTTGGGGTCTGGGAGGAGCAGGCACGCGTGTCAAATACGAAGCTTGCAGCCCCAGAGGTGACACAGTGTTGGTGGGGGGGGACCAGAGCATGGAGCGAGTGTGAACTCGCCACCTTCCTCCTACTAAAATCCCCACGGCTTGACGACACGGCGTTCCGACGTGCTGCTTCTGGACAGTCTGGCTGTGCTGGCTCAGCCTTGTTGAGTGCCTGTCACTGTTCCCAGCCATTGCAAGGAGGGGACTTCTTTCTCATCCTTAGGCAGGTGGGGAAAGTCTTCTCCCACATAGGGTGGCAGAGGGGATGGTGGATCTCCCAGAGCTTGAAGGAGAGAGCATCTTCCAAACTTTGCGGCTCAGGGCGAGAATGCTGTCTGAAAACGGACACTTCAACTAATGCCCTATTTTGCCCTTTCGCTTGACCTCACTTTTAATTTTCTCATTTGTGATGGTGAAAGACTTTTGCAGATGCCCTTTTGCGTCCCATGGACTGCAGGTTGGTAACTGCTGCACCGAGACATCAGCAGTGTCTGTTTCCTGTTTCCAATTTTGACCTGACTGCAGCTGCGTTGCAGTTTGTGGATCTGTGACACAGTGATGTGCACTTGATCACATTTTGTTTTGCATGTGTTATGGGTTTGGTGCATTGAACAATCCCTCTCAAGCTCAGGCAGGAGCAAGGCTGGCCCAAAACTCAAGCTGAAGGAGGAAGGCTGGTTTTGGGGAGGCCAGGTTGCCCTGGTGGGATATCCTGAGGAAGCAGTTTTGTAACCTGCCTCGCCCGGGAAAAGCATTGTCAGGCTCTTTGTTGAGCTGGAATCGAGTAATTTTCTTGGTTGGAAGAGAAGGTGATGGTCTTCTGGCTGGTTTGGAGTCATTTTCCCTGGACAAGCACCTGCTTCTCATGGCACATGGGCATTTACTGGCAGTTTTTGGAGTGGTGACTGAAGTGGGGCCAGTTTGGAGCCTGGTGGATCTGTTCCACACCAAGGACAAGATCGGCTGCATGCTGTAGCTGGGCTGGAGCAATGCAGCTCTCCGAGGGACTGTGTGGGCTGTGCTTCACCCATGGGGTGACACCAGGCTTGATTCCCTGGAGGGACAATGCTGCGGGATCTGGATGGGATTCCTGCCAGCTCCGGCTCCATCCACCTCACTGGGATTTCACTGGGATGGGCTCTGTCTGTCCATCTCCTTGGGATCAAGCTCTGATCCCTTTGCTTCCCCTCCTGATGGTGTGACCACAGTGGCCTGAGGGACACAGGGGATACTCCCCAGGGACCAGGGCTGCCTTCCACAGCTCACCACAGGCTCTGCAGTATTTCCTGCTGGCTTCTGCAACGTGGTGGAGCCCTGTCCCTGCTCCCCCTTACAGACAGAGACAGGGTGAGGCTGGTATTTGGAGGATGGGAAGTCACAGGGGAGCAGGAGCAGGGAGATGTGGCATTAGAGAAGGTGACCGGTGCTGGCTGACAGCAAAGCCGCTCCGGGAGGCTCCGCTCTTTGACGTGCTGCCTTGCTTGAGGTCACCTTCCCTTTCATCCCCTCCCTTTTGGAGGAGGGACCTTTGCCTGGGAGAGCAGGAGCCTTCTTGGTTTTTTATGGGCAGGGAGAGGGGGATGGGGATGCCCTCCCGGCTTGCTCGCCGGGCCTGGCTTTTGGCTTCTTCTGCAGGAGTTGCCCAAATCCCATATTCTGGTGTCCTGCTCCTCTCCCAGGTGGGAAAGTAGAGCTGGCAGCAAAGCCACTGAGTGCTGTGAAGGACAAGGGGAGGCAGCATTTGCTCCGGGTCCCACCGGAGCAGCTGGCCTGTGGGCACCTGGGCTCCCTGAGGTACTCCCTGGTGGCAAAGGCAGCATGTCCCTCCCAGCCAGTGGCCTTGGAGGCCACCAACCCGGCACTCGGCAGCATGGAGTGGTCGGTCCCCATCATATTGTGTGCCCCACTGCATCATCATCCCCAAGCTGAGGTTTTATTGTCCTCAAACCTGGCTTTCCACCATGCCGTGGAGAAACATGTCCCTGACACGGTGCTTGATGGTCCCCCATCTCCTTCGAACGTGTCAACACACATCCTGCGGGCGAGCAAAGGGATCGGTTTCCCCCCCGGTAGCGGCAGCTGAGTGGTGGATGTTAATTTACTCTCCTCCTCGCTGCCTTTCTTCTGCTCCAGCATCTCCTTGCCGCGTTGGATGCGCTTGCCCCCGGCTCCCTGGTGTCGCGCCTGCGGAGAGAAGCCATGAAGGCTGGAAATGCCTGGGTCCTCAAGCACGATAATTGAATGTGACAGGAACACACTAACTAGGAGACCTCGCTGCCTCCAGCTGATTTGCATTGCAAATAGCATTTAAAAATACAGAGTGATGAGGGTTTGTTGTGTTTTGTTTTTTTTTTTTAATCCCCTCTTTACAGGGAAGCTGGATGCAAAGATCCATCAGGGAGCAAAGAAGGGGTTAATGAAGCAGAAAGCGATGGGGTGAGCTGCTGGGGAGCAGGGAGCAGGGGAGCAGCGCTGGGTTCCCACGAAGCCACTGAAGGGTGCCAGGATGGTCCTCGACACTGGAAAGCAGGTGGAAGATGGATCGGAGAGTGCTTTTAGGTATTTCTGTATCTGTTGTATTCCAAAAGCATTAAAAGAGGCATGTTTTCACCCAGCTCTCGCCCAACAGCCCTGTGCTTCCCGGGAAGACATATGCTACAGACAAGGGTGGGTGGGAGATCGAGCTTGATGGGGTGGGATTCGACCAAGCACTGACATCTCCGCATCTCCTGTGAGTGCTGGACCCAAGGACAGCGGCCAGCCCAGCTCTGTCCCTCTTGGCAGGCAGGAGGTAGCTCCATCCTGGCTTTCGCAACGTCTCCCTCCCCAAAATGTGCCTGGAGGTCTTTTGGCTGGATGGGGTCAGATACAGCGTGGTGCCAGCCTCGCAGGAGGAGGATGAGAAACTGGGGACGAGGGGGATGAGCCAGAGAGCCCCAGCCCTGCTGAGCACATGCTCAGGAATACAGGGAGCTTGGGCTGAGAGGTGGGCTCTGCTCTTGCTCAGGGGCTTCCTACCCACAGGAGCGTGCCATCGCAGCTCTTGGCATTGCTGGGAAGCACCCAGCCTTACAGCTCACTCTCCCTGTTTGTATCAAAGCAGCAGCCACCCCGCAAAACCTGACCCTCTCCTCCCCCCAGCAGCTGCGTGCATGAAGTTAAAAACCCTCTCTGCCTTATGAATAAGATTAACTTCTCCCTTTTCTTTAATCCTTCATATTCAGCATCTCCCCACATTGCCGTGTCTGTGCTCTTACGTGCTCGTGTTCACTGGGCTGTGAGCCTTTTGTGCCATGTTGCTCCAGGCTCTGCCTCACCGTGGTCTGAGTGTTCGTTTCCCAGAGCCCGCCCTGCTGCAGAGGGGACCGAGCGACCCCCCAGCACTGCCGGCATCCTTCCTCCTCCTCCCTGGGGACGTGGCAGGGAGCCGAGCATGGCTGCGGACTCCGCTTTGCTGCCATCACTGGTTGCAGGTTGTCCCAGCCCTCTTCTTCGCTTCCTGTTGCTACCCCATCGGAGAGGAGGAGGAGGAGGGTGTGAAGCCTTCACACCAGCTGCCTGCCTGCCCTGAAACTCGGCAGCTGGGCCTGCAGCACTGCTGTTTGCCCTGGGACTTGTCTTCTGGCTCCCCTTTTATGGGATCTGCGGGGATGCTGGAGGTGGTGGATTGTGGATTCAACACCCACCCTTATCATTCCTCATTTGGGAAACCCTTGCGGGTGTTTCAGCTCCAAGTTGCCCGGGCTCGGCATGGAGGCTGTGGTGTGGGAGCCGCTGTTCGGGGTGGCAGAGGGTGATGGGCTTTTCCCGCTTCCCCCCCCCCCCCCCCCCCCCCCCCCAGCCTGTCCCTTGTGTCCCACCAGTATGGTCCCAGCCAGCTGTGCTGGGACTCCTGGTGACTTTCCTGGACGTGTTTCTCTCCTTGTACAGTGGAGGTCCTCCTCTCTTGGGTGGGTGTCCCTTGAGAGTGGGAGGAGATGTCTGCAGCACCCGTAGGAGCGGAGCTGGGGAGGGATGGGGGGCTTGGGGTGGCGTCCCAAGGTGCTGTGCCATGGGGAGACGGCAGCAGGAGAGGACTTGGCCTTGGTGGCCAGGTGGGAGAGGCAGGACATTGAGGTTGGTTTGCCGGCAGCTCCCTGGAGCGGCTCTCCTAGAGGTGGAAGGAGCCGACCCTTGCTTGGCACCCAGGGGTTGCACCCAGGCTGGGCTCCATGTGCTGCAGCCCTGGGAGTTCCAGCTCCTGCTCCTTATCCCAGGAGTGTGGCACCGTCAGACAAGGTCATGACAGAGAGGGATCTTGTACCATCCCCTTGGGACAAGGGGACTGCGGGGCTTGTGTCCTGCCTGTCAAAATCCCCATCTCGGGGCACTGCTTCCCAGGATGGGTTGCCCGCTCCATACCTAAGCTGGGCTTTTCATATGAGCCTGCAATTCGGCTTCATGTTAAACCAGATCCATCTCCTGCGTCCACCTCCATGAGCATGGCAGCTGCTCTTTGTCACCTCCCTGTCCTTTACATCACTTGCAGCTCACACCTGCATGTCACCTGAAGCTTTCATCCCCCAAGACTTCACATTCTCCGCCAGTCGCCGGAAAAACCAACCAGGTCCCGTGGGGCCAGCGGCTCTGGCGCTGGGGCTGCAGCAGCCTCTGATGGGCTGGATCACGGGCATCGCTCACAGTGGCGGCAGAACGCGCCGTGGGAGGGATGCTGAGATCATTTCCAATGAAGCTGCATTGCCCAGCAGTGGTTTTATTTTCCTCCTCTGTTAATTACATCATTTACAGGTTTGCCAGGAAATGAGCAGGACGATGCACCGACCCATCCCTGGTTTGTTCTGTGTTCCCGGCAGAAGCTGGTTTTCCCACCCTTGGGAGCATCATTCCTGGTCCTGGTATGTGTGGAAAATCGGCGCCGAATGCCCAGAATGCCTTTTACCCAATCCTTTAAAAAATTTCAGTAAAAACCAACTTGAATTTGTTAATATAGATTGTCTTGGGGCCCACCAGCATTGGCTTTGGGCCATGTGAGGCCAGTGTCTTCTCTTCATTGTGATGAAGAAGAATTCCTCCTCTTCATTTCTTTTGGGCAAAATGAACGCTCTCCTCATCTGTCTTTCCCTCCTGCTTTGAACCTCTCCTAGCTTCCCCTCCCACCTGCCCCAGCCCCCAAAGCCAGAGAACCCAGGTGATGGCACCCCAAACCCAGCCCGCCACGGCGTCCCGCCTCCATAACCCAGGGGTTTGGGTCTCCCGTTGTCCTCGTTTGGGGGCGAAAAAGTATGGGAAGGAATCAGCATCTCCATCATCGTCCTCCTGAAACCATGCTGGAGGAGGAGACCCACTGTCCCCGGGTATGGTGGCACCTCTCCGGGCTGGGATGCCCCATGCCGGGGCCCGGAGGCAGTGGTCCCCGCTCCATCACCCTCGCTGCAGGAGAGTGTCCCAGCTCCGAGCTCTGTGCTGCTGGATCGCTGTCGGCTTGGATCCTGCGCTCCATCTTCCATTGGCACTGCTTGTCGCACCAGTTTGCCTTGCTCAGGGCCAGCCGCTCCTGTGCTGGGCTGGTTTTGGGGTGTGATGGAAGCACCCCTTGCTGAGATGAGCTCAAATTTCCTCACTGGCCGGCGTGGGGACAGCACTGGGGTTTTGGGGTTGGGAGCAGAGGGTTTGGGGGATGAGGAGGGCTGGGGATGTGCGTGCTTTCAGGAAGGAGGATGCTCTCTCTGTCGAGCACTGGAGACCCATCTGGGGAGCAAAAATGACCACATGGGGCATGACGTGAAAAAAAAAACCCAAAACATTTTGGGGTGGATGCAGGTACCTCAGGGCGGTGACCCCCTCGCTGCCCAAAATCTGGCCTGAGTGCTTCTGTGCCGGCTCCGAGAGCCCAACCAGTGCTGGTGCCGGTGAGGCTGTGGAGGGACCTTCCCGGGCGCGGGGTCTCACACGACACCCCGCAGCTTGTGAAACACCCCCAAAAATTTGCTCCCCCCCCGCTTCCCGCGGTGACACGGCGGCGGCTCCGCCTCCGCAGGGGGGGAACACTCCGCTCCAGGCTTTGCCCACCGCTTCTGCGCCCCGGCTCCTCATCCGGTCTCCGCGTTTTCCGGCCCCGGCGCCCCCTTTGTGTGGGCCGCGCCGCGTTTTCCTCCCCACCGGCGACGGCGCTCCCCGTCCTCCCGCTCTAAATTCCTACTTCCGGGTTTTGCGCCGCGCCGTCCCGCTCCGGCCGCCGGTTGGGTT